CTGCAACCCACGACAGATCCGTCTTCATTCCCTGAGAAGATGGATAATCATCTTACTTGTCTCTCTGAAAACATTTACAGTTATTAAGGGTTATATAATCATTCTACTTCTTTTTAGGCTAAGCAATTAACCTGCCTTTTAAAATAAACAAAAACAAAACTCTAACACAAAAATCAGAGGTGGATCACAGATGGAAATATAAAAGCTAATAAAGCCATAAAGCTTTAAAAAAATATACGAGAGTATCTTCACAATCTGGGGGTAGGCAAAGATTTCTTGGTTTATCTTTTGGGTTTATCTTTTTTTTCTTTTTCTTTTTTTCTTCTTTTCCTGTATTTGAAAGTACTAACCAGAAAAAAAAAAATTTGACAAACTGAACTTAAAATTAAAAACTTCTGGGGTGCCTGGGTAGCTCAGGGGGTAAAGCCTCTGCTTTCAGCTCAAGTCATGATCTCAGGGTCCTAGGATGGAGCCCAGCAACTGGCTCTCTGCTCAGCAGGGAGCCTGATTCCCTGCGGCCACCCCCCCTACTTGTCATCTGTCAAATAAAAAATGAATAAATAAAATCTTAAAAAAAAAATTTAAGAACTTCTGTTCACTGGGGCACCTGGGTAGCTCCGTTGATTAAGTGTCTGCCTTTGGTTCAGTTCATGATCTCAGCGTCCTCGGATCGAACCCCAGCTGGGCTCCCTGCTTAGCGGGGAGTCTGCTTCTCCCTCTCTGACTGCCCTCCTTCCCCCCACCGACCAGGACTTGTGTACCTGTGTGCCCGCCTCCCCCCTCGTTCTGTCTCAAAACAACAAACTTTTCATCAAAATATACCATTAAGAAAGTGGGTAGACGGGGCGCCTGGGTGGCTCAGTGGGTTAAGCCGCTGCCTTCGGCTCAGGTCATGGTCTCGGGGTCCTGGGATCGAGCCCCACATCAGGCTCTCTGCTCCGCAGGGAGCCTGCTTCCGCCTCACTCTCTGCCTGCTCCTCTGCCTACTTGTGATCTCTCTGTGTCAAATAAATAAATAAAATATTAAAAAAAAAAAGTGGGTAGACAACCTCGCACTGGGAGAAAACATTCACAAAATGAATCTTTAACAAAGGACTAGAATCTAAAATATATGAAGAGATCTTACAAATCATTAAGTAAAAGAAAAATAAAACCCAATTTTAAAAGAAGCAGTAACAATTCACAAAGGAAGGTCTATGACTGACCCATAAGCAAAGATACACCGCCCCACATCGCCAGTCCTAAGGGAAATGTAAACTCAAACTACCAAGAGCTGCAACTACATACCCACCAAAATGGCTACAATTAAAATGACTGACACACTGAATGCTGACAAGGATGTGGTACAACTGGAACCTCACACGTAGCGGGCTGGAGCGTAAAAACAGAACCACGTTGGAAAATTGCTTGGCAGTTTCTTATAAAGCTAAACGTACTTCTACCCAATAACCAGCAACTCCACTGCTAGGTATTTAGAGAAGTAAAAAGATATGTCCACAAAATGTCTTGTGCAAGGGGGGGGGGGGCCTGGTGGCTCAGTCGTTAAGCAGCTGCCTGCAGCGAAGGTCATGATCCCCGGGTCTAGGGATGGAGCCTTGCAGGCTGAGGTCATGATCTCTGGGTCCTGGGATGGAGCCTTGCATTGAGCTTCCTGCTCAGCAGGAGCCTGCTTCTCTCTCTCCCCACCCACCTCCCCTCACCCCGTTTTCTCTAATAACAAAATCTTTTATTAAAAAAAAAAAAAAAAAAAAAGGCTTGTGCAATAATGTTCAAAGCAGCTTTATCCATAATAGCCCCAAACTGGAAATAACCCAAATGTCCATCATCTGGCAAATGGACAAATAAATTGTGATTTAGTCATACAATAAATATTCAGCAATAAAGCATCAAGCTATTAATATACTCCAATTAGCATGACTGAATTTAAAGGACGGTAATGCTAAGTGATATAAACCAGATACCAAACACATAAAGTGTAATTCCACTCTCAGGAATAGTAAAACTGTCATTTAGGGTGAGGGTAAAGGGGTAGCAGGGATTAACTGGAAAGAGACAGGGAACTTTGAAGTTTTGGAAATGTTTTCTAGGCGTGTGGGATACACAAAGTGCATGCATTTGTCAGCATTTGTACACTTCTGTGGATTCCACCATATGTAAATTAAGCCTCATTAAAAGGAGAAATAAAGAACTCATCTCCAATATAAACACCTGAAATCAATATGCTTTATTACTGGACTAAAGAACCTTTTGTTATTCTAAAGCAACAGCAAAACACACCCAGAACTTTTAGAAGGTAAGAACAAGTGGAAACCGGCTGACTAAAAACATCACAGGGACCACAAACCCACCATGGGCCTGTATGTGAATCACTTAATGCTCTCTGGGCCTCTATTTTTTTTTTAATTACGTTATTTTGTCATCCATAAAACAGAGTTTAGAAAATCTACCTCACCAGGAATATGTATAAATTGAGCGTATGCAAAGCATCTGGTATAGTGCGTGGCACATAGGGCCTTAGTAAATGGTAGTGGGGTAGGAAACAGCAATTAAAAAATGCATGACAAAAATCCACTTTACCTTTCTGGTGTAATAGGCAATCTTTTTTTTTATGAAGATTTTTAGTTATTTATTTGACAGATCGCAAATACGCAGAGAGAGGGGAAGGGAAGCAGGCCCCCTGCGGAGTAGAAAGCCCGATGCCAGCCAAAGGCAGAGGCTTTATCCCACCCAGGCGCCCCTGTTAACAGGCAATAATTAAAGAGTTTTATTTGAATATCTTCCCATAGCCCTTTTTTTTCATGAAAACTCTCCCTGCCTGATAACTGACCCTATGCCATCCAGCTGGCTGGTGGAGTGAGAGGGAGGGAAAAGGTGCCTTGCTCTCAGTGAGCCTGCTCCTTCATCTTAGAAATGTTCATGTGATGGGGCGCCTGAGTGGCTCAGTCACTAGGCATCTGCCATCGGCTCTGGTCATGATCCCAGGACGCTGGAAATGAGCCTCTCCAGTTCCCCCTGCTTATATTCTCCTCCTTTCACTATATCTTTCTATCATAAATAAATAAAATAAAAACTTTAAAAAAAAGGTTCATGTGAAACCAAGTTTTGGATAACCAAATTTATACGTAAGGGTATGAGTGAAACTCGCAAGTCTAAATTGTTTTACAAAATGCAAAGACTTCTTAGGAAGAGTACTAGTACTAAAGCCAGGTTTCCCATTTATTAGGTTTACCGAAGGGCGCATCCTTCCAACTGCTACAAAGCTTTCTAATTATCTTTCAAAAGGCCATGCTGTTTCCAAATGCTGTAACACACACAGCCATAACTACTTTCCACAAAGAGCATGTTCAAACAGTAGACAAAGCATGCAGAATGCTCTCCTTTTCTCACACCAATGCTGTCTGGTTGGATTTCAGCCAACAACAGGGCTCAAGTAGATTTATCTTTCCTGTAGATCGTGTAAGTACATTTGCCTAATGCAGTGCCCTAGATTTTACAAATTACATTTGCTGATGTACTTGCAAGTCTGCAGTTTTGAACATTTTCGAGGAGGACCCAAGACGTTTATATACAACACTCCATCTTGACCATCAATAAGAGCCCTATTCTGAGTCCACCTACCATCCTTTTGCTGTAATTTAAAATTTCTGTAAAGCATTTCTTGGCTCCTAGCGAAGTCCGCGTTGAGCCAAGATGCTGATGTTCTATCTGCATTCAGACTGCACAAAAAGAATTCACTCATACCAAAGATCTGTTTGAAAGCTTTTAAGGCCAAAAAAATGTCTATTGTGTGGCCTGTGATAGGCACTGACTGAAGGAAACTGGAAACTATAAATAGCGCAGGGAACACCATAAACCTGGGGGAAAACGTTTGGCTTAATATGGCACAACGACACAATTCGACACGATGTTCATATTACATCGAAAAAGTGACCATGAACCAACAACAACAGAAAACTCTTTTTTATGATCAAGAAGTTATTCTCACTAAAAAGTTCAATACGCCGTCTTAGCACCATTGATTTCCTCAGGATGCAGTAGTATTCACTGCACAGTGGCTAGGGTCTAACTCCCCATAGTGATGTCACAAAACCCGAAATGCAACGGAATCCGACTCTGGTGCATGCGGTCCTGGGATGCCAACAATCAACCTGGAGCAGGCACAGGGCCAGAACGCTCCACCAGGTTTCCTCACTGTCCCTAAGAATCACTGCTCCCCAAACAAACAAGTCCTTAAAAGCTCCGACCTAAAAAAAGGAAGGAAAAAAAAAATCAGATCTGCTGGCTGTGTCCGGTAAGAAAGGTACAGAGATCACCTGTCAACGGGCAGGAAAGTTAAGTGGGTGTAAAATGGCTTCCCGGGACGGACTGAAATGCAGTGAACCACAAGCAAATCCCCTCCTAGAGTAACGGCTTTCCACCAAACGTGGAGGGGCTCGGACACCAAGCGAGCCAAGAACCCCCCCCCCCCAACCGTCTCTCCTCGGGACCCGAACGCGCGCAGCAGACCGGTCAGCAAAACCGACACCAGACAGGTGCGGGCAGGGAGAATGGGTACGTCCGGCCGCCAGCCTGAACGCAGTGGGGGACACGGCGCACTCTGTCACCCACCCCACGACCCTGCCAGTCGCGGCCCACCGGGTGCGGAGAAGAAAGGAAGGGCTGGGAAACACGTGGTCGGCGGCTCCGCCGGGGGCTCGGGGGCCGCAGGAGCACTTCTCCCGGAAGCGGCGGGCTCGGCCGCGGCCACACAGCCCCCGACTCCGGGCCCCCGGCCGGACCCCCGCCACAGGCTGGCCGAGCCGGGGATCGCGGACAGGCTTGCGCAGGGAATTAAGTTTCTAATAATACAACTTCAGGCAGATTAGCGCCGGCGTCGCCAGACACCGAAGCCACACTTGGCGGGGGGGCGTGTGCAGGGCGCGCGGGCCGGGGGCCGGGGGCCGGGGTGGGGGAGGGTCTCCCCGGCAGGTGCGCCCCCCGCGCGTCGTGGCCGCGCTCACCAGGTACCAGACGCCGAGCAGGATGGTGCCGGTGCGGACATGGCAGCACAGGCAGCAGCTGTTGGAGTAGAACCGCGTCCAGGGCGCGACCATCTTCATCGCTCCGGCGGCCGTAGCGCGAGCGCGCGCCCAAGTTTGCAGGAGCGTCGACCGCGTCGCTCGGGGCTCCTGCGCTGCCGCTGCTGCCGCTGGTCCCGCTCGCCAGTGGCCTACGCCTCCCCCGAGAGCTCTGGGCGCCTGCTGCGGCCGGACCCTGCGCTCCGAAGGCAGCGGGAGGAGGAGGAGCGGGAGGGGGGCGGGCCACGTGACCCGCGCCGGGGCCAGTGATGTCACCGTGGGCTCCAGCCAGCTGCGGGCGCCGCCGGCCCGGGGCAGATAAATCAATCATCCTGCACCACCACCCCGCACCCCTCCCCCTCCCCCCCATCCGCAGTCCCCGGCCGGTCCCGGAGCAACCCCGCGGGAGAGTTCCGGGCCTCCCCCTCTCTCCTGTGGTTATTTGTGTTACTCTGTCCCGCGTTTTGGATTCTTTTATAGTCTCGTTGGTTGTGGTTTCTCCCCTCCCACTTCAGTTTTGCAGATGATCTGTAGATGCAAATACTATCACTGTTATCTTACGAGCTGCGAGAGGGAAAACTGCAGGGTGTGTGCGATTCCGGTCAACAGCAGTCCTTTGAACCCGCTGCTGGAGCCCGGAGCAATTTGTCTCCGCTTCCCAGCTCAATTACCGTGGTAGTAACCTTTTTCCCAGAAAATAGGATGTGTGTCAAGGACATCCTCGCTGTGCTTTCGGCAGCATTTTTAATCATGACTGCAGCTCTGAAGAAACAATCATCAAGCCAATTACTACCGCCTGAGCTCTGAAGGCCACAACACGGACCCTGAGGGGGTACTGAAAGATAGGACTCCAGCTGGGGGTTATTTCCTCCCATTTGTCGTTTGGTCTCAAAGAACCCTCGTCCTGGGTTAGCATCTAATCACCGTTCAAGCCAAGCATCTCGTGAGTTAGATTATTAGTGCGTGTCAAAGTTTGGTTTCAGACTTGGAGCAAGAGAAAAACTGGTCAGATTTAAATTTCTTAAGGACGGGTTATATAGGAAGGAAGGAGAATGTGCGATGAGGTGGTTTCCGTGCAGGACCAGTTAGTTTGGTAAGACTGTAAAGCTGTCACATTCTTAGTGTGTCGCTTAAACCTGGATCCAAAGGGACTGGGGCGTCTTTGCCAGAGATTGTCACATGCGGGCCCTTAATTGGAAGTAATAAGTAACATGCGGGAGATCATCAGAAAGGAGGCTGAAGATCAGTTATTGTTTTGTTTTGTGACTACAAATTTCTGTTTTCTCTCACACCTGAGATAATTTTCTCTCGGGTCTTCCATTTAATGTTCAGTTATACCCATAGGTACTTTTTTTTTTTTAAGATTTATTTATTTGACAGATGATGAAGTTCTAGAACATAGGTGAGGTTCGGTGGGGTGAGGTCCGGAGCCGATGACCAAGAAGGAATTCTTGAGACATCTTTGGTGCAAAATGGTGGTTTATTAAAGCACGGGCACAGGACCCGTGGGCAGGAAGAGCTGCTGCCCTGCTATCCTGAGGAATGCCTGATTATATACACAGGAGTTGGGTAAGTGAGGAAAAAGGGGATGTTAAAAAGGGCTGTCATGGTAAAGAAAACTGTCAGGATATTGGAGGCCTAGTTATTGTTAAGCCAAGGCTGTTTTTCCCTCTGATGAGACACTAACACGAAGACAATTGGGAGTTTCCTGGTGGAATGTCACATTCCTCCTATCAAACATCCTTGTCAGTGAGTTTTAGGTTTAGAAGAAATTTAACCTTATTTACATTTCCTTCAGCCCCAACCTCCTTCAGTTTTTCTGGAGGGGAGGACGACATTAGGGCTTGAGGAACTGAGTTATTTGTCTCTGGAAGTTGGGCTATTGATAAGATAGCTTCTTTGTTGTAAATCACTAGGACACTTGTAGACTGAGCGAGACTCCTGTCTTGCAGGATTGTGATCTTTGCAAGGTAACTATTTTTCTTTTAGGGCAGCCAGGAGTGCCTGAGGAATGTCACACATATTACCGAGGGGAGTGGGTGGAGAGGGGGTGCAAGGTGCCAGCTTTCGCTTTGTCCTCAGCCAGCCTTCTGCTTCCTCATCAGAGAGACAGATCTTAAGTAGGCAGAGTCAGGCAGAGAGAGAGGGGGAAGCAGGCTCCCCGCTGAACAGAGAGCCCGATGCGGGGCTTGATCCCAGGACCCTGAGATCATGACCCCCCTGAAGGCAGAGGCTTAACCCACTGAGCCACCCAGGTGCACCACCCCCCTCCATAGGTACTTTTTTTTACATTTTATTTCTTTATTCGACAGACAAAGATCACAAGTAGGCAGAGAGGCAGGCAGAGACAGGAGGAAGCAGACTCCCTGCGGAGCAGAGAGCCAGATGCAGGGCTCGATCCCAGAACCCTGGGATCATGACCTGAGCCAAAAGCAGAGGCTTTAACCCACTGAGCCACCCAGGCGCCCCTCCATAGGTACTTTTAAACTGCTGTGGGATAAGCAGGAGTGCTCTGCGCAGGATGGAAATAGAGAATCAGGCTGAGGAATGGTACTTTCCAAATTCAAGCTACCAACATGTTCCTCTAATTACCTCCAGCTTTGCCCTCCCCACCAGGATTTCAGATTCATTAGGCAAATGATTCATTGATTAAAGGGAATTTTGTATTTCAGAGCTTACTATTCAAGATCTGAATTTATAGACACTTGCTACATGGCATTAGAAGAGAGGAGAGATGGAGAGTAGAGAAAATGGGGCTGGAGAAAGGAGATCAGGAGAGAAACAGCCCATCTGCAAGCAAAGTTTATGAAATAAAACATAATGTCAGTGTCTCTGGAGTTGTAGTTATTTGGATGCGAGAGGATTGGGGAGGATTGGCAAAAACAAACAAAACCAGAAAAACAAAACCCCAGAGGCTTCCCGAGGAAGTTAGTCACAGCCGTTCTCAAACAGCGACGTATTTACTGGGGCACCGATCACAGCTGGACCGCTCTTTAGACAAATCAGTTTGTTCTCATCTCTGGGTGCCTCAGCTTCTGGGGCCACACATGCTCTTCCCTGCTAGAGCCCACCTCTCCCGCCGTTCTTCTCTGTCTCCATAGTGCCTTTGTTACGGAGATGGACAAACAGTAGAGTCTCCATTTTAGAAAAGCCCCATTTACTCGTGCTCTGTAAATTCACCTGGAGTGAGTAAATTCACCTTGCATCTGAGTAAACCAGAGAAACTATGTTCTCACGCCAAGGGGGAAGCAAGGAAGTTCTTCTTTCTCTGCATTTCACCCTAGGTCCCCAAACACCTGATAACATCTATTAAGATCCCGAATGCTTAACATGTTCCAGGACATTCACCTCAAACAAACCTCTGTGGACACTGGCATCAGTATCCCCACCTTTGGTGATTTATGGAATAACATCTATCGTTTACCTGGCACTTGTCTTTGATCTGACTCAACCCTGGCTTCCTAAAGGAACACGTACCCTAGACCCCTTTCCAACACAGACCCCTAACCCCAAGCGACCAGAAGGCTCACCTCTCTTTTTGCGAGTCTCCCGGACACTCTGTCCGCTGTACTCTATCACTTAACACTGTTCAGTAAACTCTTCTCTCATTTTCTTCTGGCTCACTTCCATCCTTGGGAAAGGACCCTCTCTGATCCTTGGACAGGGCCTGCCTGCATCCTTACCAGATGTTAAAGCCTTCTTACCTTTAGGACTTCAGGCCTTGCAACTTCTTTGTCACCCAGGTCCCTTCCCTTGCCTTCTCGAAGTCCCCATTTTTCTCTCCCTGAATCCTCCCCTCGCCCCCTTCTTCCAAGTGCATTTTCCAGTGAATTGATGGAAACTTTTCCTTCCATCAGATAAAGGCATTCTCGTTCCTTTTCCAAATCTCTCCTTCTCTAGGACTAATTGTATTTGTCTATCTGCTGTGACCCAGTATACCAAGGTCAGTTTGAGTGGTGACTGGGTACAGGAAATACAGACATAAAAGCTGCAAAGATGATCGCGTTCTGCCCCCACCCTTCCCTCCCCCGCTCCCAAAGCAGACTGTGTGGTCTCCACCATGCTAGTCCGAACGCCTGCTGAGTACCCCTACAGGTGAAAAGGAAATGCAACGGGAAAGCAGATAGGGGTCATTTACATGACAAATGTGGGGAGTTAACATTTCAGTTGGGCCTTGAAAGAGTGAACAGAACGTAGGCAAGGAACACTGAGGGGAAGGAAGAAACACTTGATCCAGGATTTGCACAGGGCCTGATACTCTTTGGAGGTAGGGAAGGTCTCCCTGGAGCTGCCTCTAGGACCTGGGTAAGGGTCTGTCCCACGAGAAACCTCAGAACCGACCCCCACTTCAAAGGCTGAGAAATTCAAGGAGCTACTACCGTCTAGCTATCCTGGAAAGGACAAAGAGAGGCAGTGCCTTCCGCGGTTGTATTGGAAAAGGACCTCACGCGCCTACAGCGGAGGGTGCTGTGGAATGTCTTCTTCGATGATGTAAGTACTTCTCAGTCGTCGGTGATGATGGAACAGAAGGGTAGCTGAGGACAAAGCAAAAGGCTGAGACCTTGCAACTCCCCCCCCCCCTCCTGGGTGGGACAGCTGTGATTCTTTAGGAATCTCCCAACTATCTTACTAGCCTGCTAAAAAGGGCAAAACGACCCTGGCAATGGCGAGGCCTCTGCTATCCGGTATCTTGTAGGTTGTTTAGCATATGAAAGTGTAAGGGCCTATTCCTCCGGAGCGCCCCCACCCCAATTGAACTGCCATTTTGTGGTTTATGCAGTAAAACTTAAATTGACCCTGCACCCCCCACCCCGCAGGGGAACTTACTTAAAAGCAAGTCCGGGAAACCAGTCCCAGGTAACAAAGCCCAAATACAAGGGTGGGTCAGGTCAGGTGGAGATAACAGCCCAAATGCAGGGATGAGTTGGGTCAGGTGGAGACATTCAATCAGTAAAGCGTGCATACTGTCTCCCTAGTTACCAAGGAGTATGGGCCCCGCCCTTTGGGCACCTTTTGGGTGCCAGTTCTGACCAAGGTGATATAGGCTGATTCAAATATCTACTAGGGTAAATTGTAATTCAA